TGTGTAGATCAGCGCGATGAGTCCGCGGTCAGAGTTCGTCCTTGGCTGGGACGACTAGAGGAGTGTCGTCACTGCCGCCTCGCTCTCAACTTGTCTCATCGCCGTGTGCCGGTGGACCGTGCAATATGTTTCCCATTAGCACTTGAGTCCTTGTTTTGCTCTGTGATTAACTTGTCTTCCAATCTTTATTCAGTCTATGTTTTTTTTTTCTTTTTTAGTGAAAAGCAGGCCAATGGACCTAAAACTTCATCCCCAGAAGAGGTATCTCGACGCTGAATGGGGGATTACATACCTTACCGTACGAGACCAGAGGCCCTGGTCTGGCAAGTGGCAGGGTGTCGAGGACAGCAGAGGGAATGGATCATAGGGGACTGAGAGGCCGCCGGCCGGATACGCAGAGGGAATGAGAGGCGATGAATAGGGCCCCCGGCCTGGCAGACGGTCTCGGGACAGGCGCCGGGGTAATACAGGGGCCCTGGCGGCTGGCAGACGGTCTGGGAGCATGGGCGCCGGGGACGGTAGAGCAGGGGCCCTGGCGGCTGGCAGACGGTCTGGGAGCAGCCGCCGGGGAAGGTAAAGCAGGGGCCCTTGCTCGGCAGACGGTCCGGGGCAGCCGCCGGGGTAATACAGGGGCCCTGGCGGCCCGGCAGACGGTCTGGGAGCAGCCGCCGGGGGCGGCAGAGGGGCGCGCCAGCCCTGAGCCGCCGGGAGGAGCCTCGTTCCGACACGATAGACGCCGCGATAGCGCCGACATGGGGCGCCGACACGGCTCACGGGGCGGCGGCGAGGCCAGGGCAGCTGCGGAACGCTGCCGAGATGCACCGGACACTGCACAGGGCACGGAGCCGAGGACACTCAGGTCCACCGGAGAGTGAACAACAACGCTCTGATAATGACATACAGCACGCCACAGACAGCGGGGATTCCCTGCACAACAACATAAAGCGGCCAATGTAGCTGATGAGGCTATCCGTCAAACCCCTTAGCAATTAGTAAGTAAGACTTCGGCAGCTATCTCCAAACTGTTGTCCCCCGGTGCCGCTCTAATTAACCATGTCGGGCGTCGCCAGCTCCGACGGATTGCAGGGCCGATCTAATCCATATATATATAGTCATCATCCATATATGTACGTGCATACCCGTTCAGTGGAGGTCTGCTAAATTACAATGCGCCCTTGAGCTTCAACGCCGCAACTGAAAATGGTGAACCAAATGTTGTTACTTGCATACTTAGCGGTATCACCCGGGTAGTTAAAGGCTAATCATCAACAATCAACGGATCAACATTTTTGCTGCCTTGATCAACAGCATCGACTCTGCATAATATCGCGTTGTATCGTCTGGTAATGTGAGTGGACAAATAGCTGGACTATCGCCAGCGGATGAGCAGCACCGAGGTCCGACAAAATATCGTCCCGTTTTGCAAACGTTCACAATCTACAGGCATTGACAATGCAAAGTAGCTGTGAAGTTGCAATGGATTGCCGTTCTGCAGTTTCGGCCGGCATTGTACTCGCGGCGCTCGGATATGATCTATCCTGGACGATCGGACCCAATCAGTCTTGCAGATCGGCCGTCGAGATTTCGAAACTCGGCCGGGTTTTATGTGTTGCGAATGTGGGGAGCGATGTTCGCAGACGGTGGGGGCGATAGCAGTGACGTAGCTCCATTCAGGCGATTACAGGATGGCCGATGGACAGATTCGTCGTCCAGTTGTTCGGTGGGTTTTACACATAGAGGAAGATCGCACCACGGCAACGACCAGGTCAAGGTGTCGTCAGCGCCAGCGATCTACCGGTAGTCGGCGCTATTAGCAAATGACGGCCAGTTTCTAACATGTAACCGGTCCTACCCACCTAGACCGTTATATAAACACCAATACAGTTTTATTCTCCATACAATTGCGTTTAATATCTTTAAAGAGCCGGGACTGTCTCGGGGGTGGAAGCAAGGGTGGAAGGGTGGGGGTGGGGGATGATACAAATTGCCACGCAGAGGCCAAAGGATAGGCATACTACGATCGAAAGCTGCGAGCATCGAATCGTAGCTAATTGATCGTATAGCTAATTGAGACGCATACACCCCATTCGAACGGTTCGCGAGTTGGCTTTGGAAGTCCTTGAACGATTATATGCAAAGTCTGTAACATTGACACTACAACATTTATAGATTAAAACAGAATGGCATCAATCTTCTCAGCGGACACCATCTTCTTTGCGACATCATATCTCACATCAGCGTCACCGCACGCATTCTCTCCTCTCACTCTCACTGAAATCGGCACAGCTCCGATGTATCCGTGTGATGCGGCTCTCACCGCCCGAGCCCGTGGGTGCATGACGGACGGTATCCTCCCGTGCAGCAGAATCTGATTACTCTAATAACTAGTGGCGGCACGAAGGGCGCCGTCTGAGGTCCTCTCCCGCTCCCATAACGCGCCCTGACAGCCCCCGGACCGACGCTCTTTGTCCTCTGATAGCGTGGTAAGTCCGCCCGCCGCCCCGGCCCGGTATTTCTGGACGGATGAGCTCCCGGGACGGAGGAGAGCGGCCACGGAGCGGGAAACTCCGCGGAGGTGCTGGAGACTGTCGGCACGCAGCGCATCGGCCCCAGGGCGGCAGTTGACGGCGGCAGTGGGCAGCTCACGGCGGTACGAGGGTAGATGGAGACGATCGGAGGATGAGAGCAGGGCCACACAGAGTTCAGAACTTCAGAGACAGGCGATGTGTGGCGCTAGATAGTCACTAGCCAGATGCACGGTGACTATAAATACAGATGGATCATGCCACCGGCACATATTGATCAGGATGTGAGCTGAACCAGTCTATCTGAACAAAGGTTCACCTGCGTTACGGGGCTACATTGGATGGCCCGACCTTTGCCCAGTGACGAAGTAGCTCACCTACTTATGTACATATTGCTACATATTCTTTGGATAGCTGATAGATTTCTCCAGCCGACAAGCACAGCAACGCTGGCGACGGGACAACAGCCCTTTCCACACAAATTACACAATTTTGGGTGGCTGGGTAGCGACATTTAATCTCAGGCAGATAGACATACAGACAGACTGTAGGTCTGATCCGAAGATGCATGAGAGGCTCCGTTCCGTTATCAAGAGTTTTGCTTTTGCAATATCGTGAAACATGCAAACAAGATTGCATACGAGCTCCGGGGAGCAGCTCAGATGGCAACATCGAAAGCACATGGTTCGAGATGAGCCGAAAACGGAGCATGTCCCTAATGCCGGCCTATTGTGACTACTGATCCGTGGCAGTGCCTTCGAGAGAAGATATGCTCATGACACGTGAGGCTACTGTGCGAGTTGGGCAACACGAGGAGGCACGGCACGGGTGGGCGAGCCCGGTCCAATGGAGGCCACTCCGCCAACCCTTCTACTCCACCCAGTGATACCATGCAGCAATAACCACAGGAGTTCGGATTACAAACCGCTGGGAGTTCAGCGGGGGCACTGTGAAAAGATCCTTCCTCTCTATCATTATCACCCACCCAACTGTACCATTATTTCTGTCGCCTCGGGAAGTGAGCGCATACAAGCGCTTCGCAAAACGAACGGAGCTCCAACAAAACATCTCGACCACTCTCTATTTCGTGACACCCCGTCAACTGCATGGTAGCCAGCTGGTAGCCCAATTATTCTCTTGAATAATGTATGAGGCCCCACCCGCAAACGGTCTGCGCGGTACTGTTGCAGCTCACCCTAAGGAGCCCGCTGGCTTTATTTGGGAATACCCCACTGCCCAGCAGGCCAGCCCTGGGGCTGTGGCCGGGTCGGCAAGCCACTAGAGGTGTAGAGGAGGGGGGGGGGAGGGTCTGGACGGGCCAGTCGAACGAGGAAGTTGCAGATCACAAGCCTTCACCACCCACGGTCCGAGCTAACGAAGGACGCTCCAGCCGATAATATCCCCGCTATTCAGCGACGACATCGACTGACGACTGTTATGTAACGTCAAGTGACATTGCCCGAAATGGCATGTTATAACTCAGCCTGGCGTTAAATGTTCGCTTAGACCAGGCAGCTTGGAGGACAAACCAGCTGACATTGGGTGAACGCGCTCCATGTTTCTTTGTCACATACACTCGAGAGTAGACGTTGGCTGATCGCCAGTGTCATGATGCTCACCAAGCTAACAAACCATGCTTCCCAGTGCATTGTGTACGGTAAATACGCCACTCTTGGCAATACATGCGCTACAGTTTTTCATCGATTCATTTTATGGGGGGGGGGGCAATTGGCAGCACAGAAGGTCGTTTGGAATTTTCGCCAGTCACTCCCGAACCCAACTCGCTAGAGCCCTTCCCGAAATGGCGTGCTACCACTCTAATGCCCCATCCCAACTCCGCTAGCCTAATATGTAACTGTCAGCGACAATGGTGCATTATACTCCTGACCTAAACGGCACACAACCAACCGATAACCTTTACTAAGTGCTATCCCGATATTAGCCGATCACCTATGGACCAGGCGTGACCGTCACTGGCAATAACAGCTGTCATGGCAGCAAAGAACGCCCCTGAGCAGTTCCTGGTCGGCCGACCTTGCCTCAAATCGCATTCTCAAATGGTAACGAAGCTGACGCCGCCCTTCTAGCTGCAGCTGTGCTATTCTGTGACAGTGAGGAGTATCCCAGCTGCAATGATGCTGAGCAGTATTGATTATTCAGAACATTATCCGAAAACAGCAACCATGGTAAGCGTCTGATCAGTCTGGGAACGATCAGACACTAAGGTTCTTGAGTTATTGGTTATTGGGTGTTCGGAACTCAGAGGTCATTAGGTACAAATGATTTCAGAACGTCTCTGAAGATTGCATTCGACGTCTAGGAACGTTACAAAGAGCCTAAACAATGGTGATCGCAGTCACGTATAGAGAAAGCACACCAGAATTGACAGGTTTGTTGTAATAAGCCGTCACAGATACATTACCATCCATTCCCCATCCGAGTCCACAGCATTGCACCGATGCCAAACTCGACTGGAAAGATACATCGTGGTGTATTGAACCCTGGTCAGCATGACAGTAAAATGTAACGTCAAACGAGCCTATATCTCTCTCTCCGTAGCGTTAGGTGACCGGCGCCTGCTCTTCGCCCGTCTGTCTGCTGTCGGCGTCTCCCGCGGCCATCTCCGCCGCGTCTCCCTTCGTCGTCTCCGCAGCGTCTCTCTTAGTCATCTCCACCGCGTCTCCGTTGGCAGTCTCCTCAGCCGCCTTGTCTGGCGTCTCTGTGGCGTCTCCTGATGCCGTCTCGGCCGTCTCGGCAGCTGCCTTCTCCTCCTGAGCACGGGCAGCCGCGAACTTGTTCTTCTCTGGAGACACAAACGTGCTGGTTAGACGGGCAATACGAACACCGCACAAACACCCTAGTTAGATGGACATTGTACTTACAAAGTTACGGGTCAGATCCGCATAAACACAACAAACAAGCACATGCTGGTCAGTCAGTCGGATACATGCTGGTCAAGCACGAACATAACACTCAATCGGACAAAACACAGACTTCTCAATATAAAGAGAAGTCTGTGGACAAAAACCAATAGCAAACAAACGAACGTTAACACTGACTGGCTCGGACGGGTAATACAAGGGCCTGGGAGCCTCATCTCATATCAGACAGGCGGTACCCGTGAGCCCCCCTTCCCTTCCCTACTCAAGACAGGCGGCACCCGTGGGAGCCCCCTTCCCCACAGACAAGCAGTACCAGTCTCGGCACTCCCCCCTCACACCCTGCAGTCCAGCCCGGTACGGTGAATACATCACCCGGTGTGGCGCCGTATAATGTTATCAGACCATCGCCGGGCGGCGGTCTGCTCTGCAAGGACGGACGGCTGGGACGGCGGGGGACGGAGGGGATAGAGGGGACAGAGGGGACGGGGGACAGAGGGGACGGGGGACAGAGGGGACGGGGGACAGAGGGGACGGGGGGGACAGAGGGGATAGAAAGGATAGAGGGGACGGGAGGACAGATGGGATAGAGGGGATAGAGGGGACGGGGGATAGAGGGGATAGAGGGGACAGAGGGGATAGAGGGGACAGAGGGGACGGGCGGGACAGAGGGGAAAGCGGGGACGGGGGACAGCGGAAGCGGACAGGACAGCAGAAACGGCGGGACGGAGGGGACGGACGGCGAGGACAGAGGAACGGACAGAGGGACAGCACCCGGCGACACCGCCATCCGCCCGTGGGGTGTGCTGAGAAACGGCCCTTTCGCACGCCACTTGTCTTTGGAACGATATATTATATATATTATATAGCCCGGTAAGCGGTGTTCGCATGCGCTCATATCGATTAGTTGATTTTTCTTCGATGATGAATGGAAACGAACAACTTTATCATCAACTATTTATAGGGAACAGAGACATCTCAAATGGATTATGTCCACACACGTGAATACCGATTTCTGCACACTGGTGACGGTGACGGGACAGTAATTTCGGGCGGAGTAATCTGTTTAGGTTGCTGGCGCTCGGTACCCCCACATGAACGAACAGTGAACACCCAACAGAACCGATGCAATGCAATGTGGCGTGCATGATTGAGCTCGCATACTCAAATTCTGACAAGGCCGAACCTCTGTAAAGTGATATATCGGTAAGCCATCCATCAGTTCAGTCAGAGCCACCCGGTCGTATACCTAAACCGGGCGGCACCTCTGCTCAGGTACTCCCCGGCGCCACCAGCCTCGGCGAGATCTCCCACCCCGTCTATCGCACGGACCATCGCGGGGTGCTCAGTCACGATCGGTTCCCTCCGGTCAGGACGGCCTAACCACCCCGTCCGCACGCCGGCTCACAGCTGCAGTAAACGTCCGATAGACGCCTCGTACCCCCGCCCGCGTCAGACCGTATAGATCCGCCCAGACATCTCACCACCCGGCCACTCACTGGCTAGTATACCTCCCAGGCCCGCGGGCGGCACCGAAGATTGATCGGAACGCCGTAATAACTCGCACAGGTGGCCCGCCAATATCTAAAATAAATAAATATTTCAATACTATCCAGAACAGCTCAGGACCCGTGAACCTATTATCCCATAAAGAAACATATTCCACACTGACCTCTGCCCTAGACTGGTCATTCAGGTGTGAGTAAATACCAGGGGGATGGTACAGACCTCCCAGACACTACTACGATTGGCTCGGCAGGCGGGCTGCAGCCAGGTTCGTACAGTCACCAGCACTTGCTACTAATCACCTCGTTTTTGTTCAGTAGTTTGAAGACCGATCAATTCTCAGTCGCGCAAGATACCTCAAACGATCCGTTTGGTCCTCCGATTTTCGAATATCTTACTTGTTTTTGTATATTCGAAGCATTTTGGGATGAGGAGCCAAAAAACCTCTTTTCTGCCCTAAAGTGTGCCCCAAGAAGTCGTAGAACCTAGCCCCGCCTCTGATCCACAGACCACTAGTGCCATCTCTTGTCAGCCGAACAAGCCGCAGAAGTAAATAATGTCACGTGACCTTTGCACACGCTACAATTACTACGCAGCTGTAGTGGGGGAAGCGGGGCGGAGGCGTGGAGAGGGACGCGATCGGTCGGCTGGGGTCAGGTCGCCGAGGTCAGAGGTCATCCGCCGGAGGGTGTTTGGGCGTTGAGCCGTGTGGGCTAAGGCCTGCGGAGTGGGGAGCGCCAGGACCTGTCTGGAAACAAGCCCTACAACGCTGTGACAGTCGAGAATATTGTGAGGAAAGAGAGAGAGAGAGAGAGAGAGAGAGAGAGAGAGAGAGAGAGAGAGAGAGAGAGAGAGAGAGAGAGAGAGAGAGAGAGAGAGAGAGAGAGAGAGAGAGAGAGAGAGAGAGAGAGATGGAGAGGGTGAGAGAGAGAGGAGAGAGAGAGAAAGAGATAGGGAGAGAGAGAAAGAGAGAGGGAGAGAGAGAAGAGAGAGAGAGAGAAAGAGAGAGGGGGAGAGCGAGAGAGAGAGAGAGCAAGAGAGAGGGGGAGAGCGAGAGAGAGAGCAAGAGAGAGGGGGAGAGCGAGAGAGAGCAAGAGAGAGGGGGAGAGCGAGAGAGAGCAAGAGAGAGGGGGAGAGCGAGAGAGAGCAAGAGAGAGGGGGAGAGCGAGAGAGGGGGAGAGCGAGAGAGAGAGAAAAAAAACTGAAAAGAAAACCAGAGAGGGTAAAATGAGATAGAAGGCAAGGGGTAAATCAGTGAGAGAGAGCGAGAGAGGAAATATCTAGTTGTGTCAGCTTGTTTCACATGTAAAATGTAAATTTGCTTTCCATCATTACAGCTTCGGATTGTAAATTAAATCTTAGCATCCTTATGATAAACCCACGTTGACGTGATGCAGTAGCGGCGGAACACCTACAATTAAGGGGGTGGGTCACTGCCGACTTTTGGTCCTATTATTTCCATGCAACGCTCATAGGGCTAATGTTGAAATGCCAAAATCAACGGGGGGCACGGTGTCCCGGTGCCCTCCCCGTTCCGCCGCATATGACGGGATGGGGACGCTTTTATGGTTGTCATTGGGAGCTCGACACTTATGGGGTCTGGGGATGATGTTGAAGGCTTCGCAAATGTTTCATAAAAGAGATGCTATTTTTTTTGCGCAACCTATTAAAACACTTCTTTACGTTTGTTATGAAAATGTTAGGCCCAGTTCCTTCAAGATCAGGTCCACGACTCCACAGCTTACAACAGGAGCTAGCTAACATAGCAATTAACCCGCGCCGTGTTGGTGGCATGAACTTTCCATCGAGTGCTGGGGGGGGGGGGGGGGGCGTTTCACGCCCCTCCGTCTAGCTCGGCTCCTGGGGCACGTAACGACACGCGGTAAGCGGCAATCGAAGGAGCGTCAAAAATAAGGAGGAAAACACTCGGTCATTTTAAGGTTAGGGCAAAGGTCAGGTCACCAGAGTTCAGCAAAGGTCAAATTTTGTTGATTTCAACGGTTTCGAACAACCGACGGCTAACTCGGGAACCACAGCGCCGCGGAAAAGCGCATTCGATAGCTCTTTTAACGCTCTTTCGCCAGCATGTCCTCAAATTTGACCTCAGATCAACGGTTTAGCCCCCAGAGGGCACCGCTCTGATTAACCTCAAATTTGACCTCAGATGAACGGTGTTTTCACCGCTCTAGCACGTCTGTCAAAAGTCAAAGAACTGCTGAGGATTTTTTTATGTCCTAAAATGACCTCAGGGGCACACACAGGGGTCACAGGTGCAATTTTCCGATTCAGAGTGTCATGTTTACCAATAGACCGATGTTTGAGAGGGTGTAGTACGAAATTCGTCCAAAAAAGGCGCATTTCAATTTTCTCCCATTGACTTATACCTAATGTAGCAGTCGCAAAATTGACCTCACCTTAGGTCACAGACATAAAAATCCGAGGTATCCATTTTATACATATTGTTACCCTAAGCAATTACTGAAAGTTTTAAAGTGATCGCCCAGTCGGTGTAGCTACAGCGAGCTTTCAATTTTTTTTTCTGAGGTAAGGTCACTTGACGTTACCTGGTGACCTGACCTTGAATGACCGTCGCCGTTTTTGAGATATTCGCGAAAAACCTGAGGGGAAGGGCGTAAAAACGCCCCCCCCCCCCCCCAGCACGGTGCGGGTGGTCGACATAGCGACTCGGACTGAACAAATGCCTTTAACGTTTCAACGGTTGAACAAGGTGAGAGGATTGAGGTAGGCTTGTATCGGATTTTCTTCTGCTTGTCGGTAGTTTAGGTTGAAGTTAATTTTGCGAGCTGTCCGTAATCATTCAAGAGGGAAAATTCAGCTGCACATCGTTCGGATCAACGTAATACCAAACATTCTAAAATTTTGTAACATAACATAACATAACATGTATTCCATGTAACAGCAGGCCACTTGGGCCCAACGAGGTTACAGGTAGATGAACAAACACTGTATGTAAAACACGGTACAATTACACCATTTCATCGAACACTAGCCCACGCTGTTTATAATACAAGTCTAACTCATTTTTAAAATTACTTAAGGAGGAACTATTGATAACTCTAGGAGGTAAACCGTTCCAAGCTTCTATGACCCTACTGGTAAAAAAGGACTGTCTTAACTTGGTTCTGGAAAATTTCTTTACTAGTTTGCACCCATTTCCTCTCGTGGAATTTGTATTGAGTGTAAACATCTTCCCAAAATCTAACTTATCAATCCCTTTGTATATTTTAAAAAGTTCAATCAAATCCCCTCTTATCCTGCGGTAATGAAGTGAAAACATATTTAAGGAAGCCAGGCGTTCTCTGTAGCTCATTTCACCCAGCCCACGAACCATCTTTGTTGCCCTCCTCTGCACACGCTCCAAAAGTTTTATATCCTTTTTTAGAGACGAGTGGCATGC